TGAAAAACTCTTAACTCTGGTGCCCTGTCACATATAGAAATTTTTTGATATTTGCAACCATAGTAAAACAAAGATTTATATTTTTGATATTTATTTTATATATTTAAATGCCATTTACAAAGAAAAATCAACCAAAAAAACGAGTTCGCGTGTCACCTCTGACACGCGTGTCATAGGTTCGCCATCACTGGCCTAGATCTTCCTCTAGAGAGGATTCCAGAAGGTGTTCTGGCAGGTAGCAGATGGTATGATCACCTCATTTGAATATGAACTGAGTGAATTCGTATTCTTTGTAAGACTACATCTTCTAGTCTCCCCCCCCCCCCCCAACTCCCCATTTCCTAAAAAGTAATTTTTGAAAGGTACCACTGACAGCCAGGTGTTCTCTTTTGAGCTTTGCTTTGCTTTTATCCACTTTATGCCTAGAAAATTAGCCTCTTGCTCTAAGCATCTTACTGAGCAAAATATCTTGAGTGTCATGTTAGGCTTTCTTCTCTGTCCCTTTCTGGGGACTTGGACTCACAATTCCTGGTTACCTTGCCAGCTCAAACATTATTCTTTTGTCTTCCCAGTTTTGTGTGATTGCCTTTAACTCTTTTGGCATCCTTCCTTGACCTCTCTTTGACTTCTTAGCCTCTTTGCACCAATAATCAGCAAAAGTATGGAATTCTTATCTGTCTTAGCAGCTCTCTGATGTCTTCTGATTTATGTGTGTGTGTGTGTGTGTGTGTGTGTGTGTGTGTGTGTTTGAGAGAGATAGGGAGAGTTTAAAATCTGCTTTTCTAATTCTCAATATAAGCAGAGCCATAAGCTACATAGAGCTGGAGGCAGAAGTCTCTATGTCTTTTTTAGGGGGTAAGGGGGAGAGATCAACCAAAGGACTTACATGCAAGCATATAGGCCTAACCAATGGACATGGACAATGGGGGGGTGAGGGCATGAGCGGGGGCGGGGGTAGGGGATAACGTGGGGATAAGGACACATATGTAATATCTTAATCAATAAAAAATATATATTTTTAAAAAAGATAATCATTGTCATGTCAATTTAGATCACAGATTTTCAACTGGTGTGCTGCAAGAATTTTTAAAACATTGATACCTGACCTCTCTCTTCTTAGATTGTAAAAAAAAAATAAAATAAAATAAAAAAGACAATAGGCAACACAATAACCATTCAGTGTGAATGAATTAAAATTATACCTATTTTGCCCGGCTGGTGTGGGTCAGTGGTTGAGTGTCAACCTATGAACCAGGAGGTCATGGTTTGATTCCTGGTCAGGGCACATGCCCAGGTTGCGGGCTCGATCTCCAGTAGGGGCCATGCAAGAGGCAGCCAATCAATGATTCTATCTCATCATTGATGTTTCTATCTTGCCCTCTCTGAAATCAATAAAAAAAGATATTAAAAAATTATACCTATGTTTTATCAGACCAGTAAAAAAAATATATATATATATATATATATATATATATATATATATATAATTTTTTTTTTTTTGGTGTGTTGCAGAATTTTAGAAATTAGCTTATGTGTGCCATACGATGAAAAATGAAAAGCACTGCTTTAGATGATTTAAGAATTCTGCTTCTTAGGAAATCCATCAATGAGGTTTCATAACCTTTAAAATAGATCCTTGAAAAAGGTGATGTTTATTCACTAAATGAGTCTTTATTCTTGTTTTTAAAAGAGCCATAAAGAGAGAATGCCCTCTGCCTAGAATTAACTGCCTATGAATAAGTTTAAATTGTTTAGAAATTTGCAGTTTCCAGAATGTTTTTCAGCTATTACACTCATCCAACAAATATATTGTGTGTTATTTATAATCCTGTTTTATAGATAAGGAAGCCAAGAAACACATTACAATAATGCCTAAAAATCACAAGCTGATTATTGACAGGAATAACTAAAATTGGGCTCCCAGACCACTAGTCCTGTCCTATATATTAACTTGACCTCAATTCAACTTTGTGTACATTATGGTACGTAAAGTACGTATTCCTTAGGACCTGCATTCACACTCCTGAGTTTATTGAACTTTACAACATTGGTTTTGTTACCCATAGTAACTTACTATTAAGGATATTTTCATTAAGAATCCTATCTAATAAAATAGAAACATGGTAATTAGCATACGACTGCTACCCTTCCCATTGGCTAATCAGGGCGATATGCAAATTAACTGCCAGCCAAGATGGCGGCCGGCAGCCAGGCAGCTTAAACTGAACATGAGGCTTGCTTGCTTCAGTGACGGAGAACTCCAACATTCCCCACCTGCCTTGCTGGCCTCTGAGCCTGCAGTTTAAGAAACATTGTAACAAATATAGAAGCTAAACAAAACCCCAGAAACCAGCTTTCAGTGAGCTGGGGTCTCAGAGCTGGAGTTGATACAGAGTTTCGATTATAGAATGGAAACAAACCAGATACCTGCTTTCAGCAGCTGAGGCCTAAGAGCTGGAGCCTCAGAGCTAAAGCTGGCCCAGAAAAAAAAAAAAAAAAAAGAAAGAAAGGAGCAGTTGGGAGCTTCAGTCCCAGCCTGAAAACAGCCCTCAGCCCCTCACCCAGACTGGCCAGGCACCCCAGTGGGGACCCCCACCCTGAAGGGTGTGTGACCAGCTGTAAACAGCCATCATCCCCTCATCCAGGCTGGCCAGGCACCCCAGTGGGGACCCCCACCCTGAAGGGTGTGTGACCAGCTGTAAACAGCCATCATCCCCTCATCCAGGCTGGCCAGGCACCCCAGTGGGGACCCCCACCCTGAAGGGTGTGTGACCAGCTGCACTGAAGGGTGTGTGACCAGCTGAAAACAGCCATCATCCCCTCGTCCAGGCTGGCCAGGCACCCCAGTGGGGACCCCCACCCTGATCCAGGACACCCTTCAGGGCAAACCAGCCAGCCCCCACCCATGCACCAGGCCTCTATCCTATATAGTAAAAGGGTAATATGCCTCCCGGCACCGGGATCAGTGTGACAGGGGCAGCGCCCAAACCCCCTGATCGCCCTGTGGCTCTGTGTGTGACAGGGGGCGGGGCCACAACCTCCCTATCTGCCCTGCTCTGTTCCCCGCAGGGGAAGGCGCTCCAACCCCCTGATCGGCCCTACTCTGTGTGTGACAGGGTGCGGCGCCCCAACCCCCCCACCCCACGGGCCCTGCTCTGTGTGTGACGGGGTAGAGCCATAACCTCCCCATCGGCCCTGCCCTGAGTGTGAGAGTGGCGGTGCCCCAATCCCCTGATCGGCACTGCTCTGTGGGTGATAGAGGGCAGCGCCCCAACCCCCACCCCCCCACGGGCCCTTCTCTGTGTGTAATGGGTTAGAGCCATAACCTCCCCATCGGCCCTGCCCTGAGTGTGAGAGTGGCGGTGCCCCAACCCCCTGATCGGCCCTGCTCTGTGGGTGATAGAGGGTGGTGCCCCAACCCCCCCGACCCCCATGGGCCCTGCTCTGTGTGTGATGGGTTAGAGCCATAACCTCCCCATCGGCTCTGCCCTGGGTGTGACAGTGGCGGCGCCCCAACCCCCTGATCTGTCCTGCTCTGTGTGTGACAGGGGGCGGTGCCCCAACTCCCCTACCGGCCTTACCTGTGAGTGACAGGGGGGAGCTCCTCAACCCCCTGATGGGCCCTGCTCTGTGCGTGACAGGGGGGAGCTCCCCAACCCCCTGATCGACCCTGCTCTGTGCGTGACAGGGGGCAGCGCCCCAACCCCCTGATTGGCCCTGCTTTGTGCGTGACAGGGGGTGGCACCGCAACCTCCCCATCGACCCTGCCTTGAGTGTGACAGGGGACGGTGCCCCAACCCCCCAATCGGCCCTACCCTGAGCGTGACTGAGGGTGGCATCGCAACCTCCCAATCCACCCTGCTCTGTGCATGACAGGGGGTGGCGCCCCAACTCCCCAATTGGCCCTGCTCTGAGCCCCACCAGCGGCTGCACCTAGGGATTGGGCCTGCTCTCTGCCACCCGGGAGCAGGCCTAAGCCAGCAGGTCATTATCTTCCGAGGGGTCCCAGACTGAGAGAGGGCACAGGCCGGGCTGAGGTACCCCCCTTCCCCCCGAGTGCACAAATTTTTGTGCACTGGGCCTCTAGTAGAATATAATGATGAAACCCCTATGTTGAAAACTGCCGTATGATGAAATAAATTAGATGGAAGAGGACAAAAATGTATTTCACTTATGTGGAATATAAAACAAAAAGTAACAAATGAGCCCTAACCGGTTTGGCTCAGTGCATAGAGCATTGGCCTGCGGACTCAAGGGTTCCATCTTCGATTCCAGTCAAGGGCATGTACCTTGGGTGCGGGTACATACCCAGTAGGGAGTTTGCAGGAGGCAGCTGATCGATGTTTCTCTCTCATTGATGTTTCTAATTCTCTATCCCTCTACCTTTCTCTCTGTAAAAAATCAATAAAATATATTTTTAAAAAACAGTAACACATGAACTAACAAACTCGTAGAGACAACAGAATGGTGGTTACCAGAGAGAAAAGGGGGTTGGGTGGGCAGAGCGAAGTGAGTAAAGGGGTCAAATATATCGTAACAGAAGGAAACAACTTCAGGTAGTGAGCATGCAATAGAGTGCACAGATGTTCAATTATAATTTACACCTGAAAATTATTAACCAGTTATCCCAATTAATTTAATTTTAGAAATATGTTTTCAGTGAACAGGGATGTTTATATGTACTCTTAAATGCTACTCTGCATGCAAATGTGCAGGTGAACGGGTGGACACAACCCTTAGCCTTCCTATTCTGAGTAGGAAGGAATCCTGGTAATTTGATTCCTGCGTCCAGAGCACAACAGCACGCATTCAAAAACATTCTGATGCTAAGAACGATGCTTGCACCCAGACAGGTGACATGAAAAATACGTAGCCTCGGTTTCTTAGAATGTCGTAACTGAAGAGTCTTAAATAACTCTTGGCATCAAATTAAAAGATGGATCGCTTTGCCCAAATAATCTTCAGTCACTTGCAAGAGTGATTTATATTCACCTATTTAACCTTAGCTGTATTCATGAGACACTTACATGGAATATTTCTACTGTTCTTCAGGCCCCTTATTCATGGGCGTTCCCCGACCTCATTGCTATATAACCAGAGGCTCTGAGCTGCAGCTGTCAGGATCCTAATCCCTTCTGCAAGGACTCGAGGAATTGCTGCCAGTGTGTACAGTAGCAAACTGCGTGCTCGCCTTTCGGGCACCATCAGAGGTCTCAACAGCAAAACAAAAGTTGTGGATGATTCTTTTTAACCTTCCAGAATTTCAGCTAACTCATTTAGGTATGTCCAGACTTAACATTTAGTAAATGTTGACCTTCAGGCAGACATGTATAATAAAGAATGCTCTCTTTAATGGAAGAGAAACTAAAGTGGGAACAAGATGTGTGACCTCTCTTGCTATAGTTTAGCCATGTAACCTCAGGCATGTAATTTAACCTTTGGTTTTTCCTTATTTGTAAACTGTAGGGGAAATAATTTGTCTTCTAACTTACTGTAAAGAAAATGCGATGGCTATGAAAAATGTTTTGGGATCCTTGGAAGAAAGGAGTGCTATATAAATTAATGATAGTATTATAGTGATTATTATATGACTTAAAACAGATACAAGATCAAATCATTGCTTTCCAAAGTTGGAATAACAGTTCGTTTAAGCTAATGCACATGATATGCTCTATTTGAGAGGCATAAAATACTTTAATCTCTTCAGTTTTAAATATATTTGCTGAGATGGTATGGATTCTTTAAATTAGAAGCTACTCAGAAGACCATTTGTCAGGAGGGCTATTTGACATTGGGTATGTGCTAATGACACATTGATGGGAACCATGTGAACTTTGAATTTATTACTATGTAGGAAGCTTTATTTTAGATGAATACTATGGTTTTTACTACACTGAATGAAACCAATTTTGTCCCAATGCTTTAATTACTTCTTTTAAGATTGCTATGTAACTAGTCAATATAAATATGATGTCTTAACCAAAGGACTTGTATGCATACATATAAGCCAAACCAATGGACACAGACAACAGGGGAATAAGAGCATGAGGGGATGGGGGAGGTTGGGGGTTAATGGGGGGGATGAAGACACATTTGCAATACCTTAACCAATAAAGAAATTAAAGATAAAGATGATGTCTTTCTTGTGATAGCTGAGTTAGTCTCTGGTGAGGAATGTTTTATTTCTCCAGTTGCTTCTAAAATTTCTGACTCTGAAGCCTTTGTTTGAATTTTTTTATTTGTACTAGATAGATTGTGTTTCCATGGTATTCCTTAAAGCATGATGTATTAATATATGTGATTTTAATATGTTTCTGCTATATTTGAAGTTAAGCTTTATTTTGTAAATATAAAAGCATTCAGCACATTTTGAATTAATTGCTACTATTTGACATGTTAATGTATTATTTGCCTAGTTTTCAAGCAGTGATCAGGAAAACATCAATATATGGTCATCCATTAGTTCATCAATTAATGGATCCAGAAGCTCAAAAAGGTAAATTATTTTATGTTTCTGTATGTAATTTGACTAATTGGAAGATGGTAAACAACTAACAGAATACAAAACCTTACCTTTTCAGTGTTCATTAGTGTCTTAAATAGAGCTAGGACTTTTATCAATTACATATTATATCTTGGCTTGTGTTTGCTAACCCGTAAATATCTCTAATAGTGTTCAGTGTTTACTGATATCCCTACAGTCCTGATGATATGTTAAAGGTAATTTTTGAAGACAATAAATTAAATATATAGTCTTGCTAAATATCTTTTTTTTTTTAATCTGCAAAAATGGAATAATTCTTTTCCCAAGTGCTTTACATATGATTGTGATCTCTGAGTTACTTTATTTCAGATAAGAAGATTGTAAGGGAGATAAGAAGTCTTATGTAAAACTACATGTTTTTACTCATGCTTGGATGAAAGATGATTTTATACTCTGAAAACATTTCTCACCTTTGTTTATGGTCTCTCTGATGTATTAGTTAAAGGCAAATACATACAGAATGTAATTGACCTCTTGGTGAAAGGAGAATTTAAATTTGAATTCTACTACCAGTGTAGTTATTTGAAATGGACCCACCATTTTTATATCATCTTAAATAGCATGGCTTTGCTGGATTATGTCATATAATTATCCCCATTATTTTGAGATAAAAAGTGCAGACATACACTCTTGCCATAGACTAGAAGAATTATTACCATGCTTTTGTATCATACATTTTATTATTTTGGCTTCTTTCTCTATCTCCTTAATCTATACACTGTGGATGTTTTCTAAGAACTATAGTCCTATTTTTTCCTTTTTTTAGGCATGCCAAGTGGCCTCTACCTTGGTGAGCATATTTCTAGGCCACAAGAGGAGGGTGTATGCCCAGTGTTGGCAGCCTATGTGGCTTAAACACTAATGGTTTTCCTGTAGTGGTTTTTGTAAATCTAAACATGTAAAGTTGTAATCACTTAGAGAATCCAGCCATTTAGGTGATTTGAATGAAGAAACAATTTCTGTGCAGTTTACGAATACAATTACATCATTATCAACGATGCTTGGTATCATCTGTGTGTTCCATAATTTGGCACATTATGAAGGAAACGAAAGAAGTTCAAGGTAAGGTTGAGACAGAACTAGTATTAAAATATTTTACAACATGAATAATAAAAAAAATTCAAATCTTGCCACATTTGCCTTATTTTAAAATTATTCACTGCCTCTTTAATTTTTATAGGGTAAAATCAAGACTTAGCATGACATAAAGTGTTTTATTTCATGTTACTATCACGACTTACTATGGCCTCCTGGTTCATGGGTCAATGCTCAATCACTGAGCCACACCACAGGGCAATTATATTGCTATTTAAGAAACATATCAAACTATAATTGGAAGCAATATGTTCAATATACCAGTTAGAGTACCATCACACATATAATTACTAAAGATTCATTCATCAACACATTTTACGTGAAGTAAACTGAATAAATATATGCTAAATAAGACTAATAAATTTCCCACATATTGAATAAAAATAACTTAAATATAACAGTCTGTATCTTCCAAAGGAAGGTTTAAATGTCAAGTTTGAATGTCAATTGTTGCCCTTAGGGATGATCTGCTACTACTTCAAAAGCTCACAAATTCATACTTGACTCCAAGACCCAACGCTGCTCCTTAGTTCAGACTCTTTCCCATCTTTTGTCTAGATTATTGTATGTCTTCTAATGAGCTTCTAATTTAGCCTTCAGTTGCTGCTGCCAGAGGTAACTTTTTTTTGTTTTATTTTGTTTTTTCTTATTTAAAAAATCTGCCCTTTATTTTTTAAAAAATTTATCTTTATTGTTGAAAGTATTACAGATGTTCCCCCTTTGGCTCCCTCCTCCCTACTTCCTCAACCTCCCCAGGTCTTCACAGCACCATTGTCTGTGTCCATGGGTTATGCATATATACATTGTAGAGGCCCGGTGCATGAATTTGTGCACAGTGGGGGTCTCTCAGTCTGGCCTGTGGGATCAGGCCAAAACCGGCTCTCTGACATCCCCCAAGGGGTCCCAGATTGTGAGAGGGTGCAGGCCAGGTCGAGGGACCCCACTGGTGCACAATCGGAGCCAGGGAGGGATGCAGGAGGTTGGTCAGCTGGGGAGGGACTGCAGGAGGGCTCTAGGGCATGTCCGGCTTGTCTTGCTCAGTCCTGATTGTCTGGAGCCCAGCAGCAAGCAAACCTACTGATTGGAGGGTCTGCTGGTTAGTGAACATCATAGTGACTGGTTGACCGGTCGACTGTCTGCCCCCTGGTGGTCAGTGCACGTCATCGTGAGTGGTTGAGTGGCTTTAGCATATCATTAGCATATTACACTTTGATTGGTTGAACAGCCGACCAGACATTTAGCATATTAGTCTTTTATTATATAGGACTAGAGGCCCGGTGCACAAAAATTTGTGCACTCGGGGGGGAGGGGAGGTCCCTCAGCCCGGCCTGTACCCTCTCGCAGTCTGGGACCCCTCGGGAGATAACGACCTGCTGGCTTAGGCCTGCTCCCAGGTGGCAGAGGGCAGGCCCAATCCCTGGGTGCAGCCGCTGGTAGGGCTCAGAGCAGGGCAGATTGGAGAGTTGGGGCGCCGCCCCCTGTCATGCACAGAGCAGGGTGGATCGGGAGGTTGCGATGCCACCCCTAGTCATGCTCAGGGTAGGGCTGAATGGGGGGTTGGGGCACCGCCCCCGTCACACCCAAGGCAGGGTCAATGGGGAGGTTGCGGCGCCACCCCCTGTCACGCACAGAGCAGGGCCCATCAGGGGGGTTGGGGCTCCGTACCCTGTCACACACAGAGCAGGGCCCATCAGGGGGTTGGGGAGCTCCCCCCTGTCATGCACAGAGCAGGGCCAATAGGGGGTTAAGGAGCTCCCCCCTGTCACTCACAGAGTAGGGCCGATAGGGGAGTTGGGGCACCGCCCCCTGTCACACACAGAGCAGGGCGGATCAGGGGGTTCGGGCGCCACACCCTGTCACACACAGAGCCGCACGGCAATCAGGGGGTTAGGGTGCTCCCCCCTATCAGGCACAGAGCAAGGGCTGATCAGGGGGTTGGGGCACCTTCCCCTGTCACGAACAGAGCAGGGCAGATAGGGAGGTTGTGGCCCCCCCCCCCCCCCCCCCGTCACACACAGAGCCACAGGGCGATCAGGGGGTTTGGGCGCTGCTCCCTGTCACGCTGATCCCGGTGCCGGGAGGCCTCGTGGCTCCACTGATCCCAGTGTTGGGAGGCATATTACCCTTTTACTATAAAGGATAGAGGCCTGGTGCACGGGTGGGGGCCGGCTGGTTTGCCCTGAAGGGTGTCCTGGATCAGGGTGGGGGTCCCGCTTGGGTGCCTGGCCAGCCTGGGTGAGGGGCTGAGGACTGTTTTCAGGCTGGTGGGTGACTGAAGCTCCCAACCGCTCCTTTTTTTTTTTTTTTAATTCTGGGCCACCTTTAGCTCTGAGGCTTGGCTCCAGCTCTGAAGCCTCGGCTGCTGAAAGCAGGTATATGGTTTGTTTGGGTTCTATAATCGAGACACTGTTTCAGCTCCAGCTCTGAGATCCCAGCTGGCTGAAAGCAGGTTTCTGGGGTTTTGTTTAGCTTCTATATTGTAACAATGTTTCAAACTGCAAGCTCAGAGGCCGGCAAGGCAGGCAGGGAACGTTAGCTTCCTCCATCACTGAAGCAAGCAAGCCTCATGTTTGCTTCAAGCTGCCTGGCTGCTGGCTGCCATCTTGGCTGGCAGTTAATTTGCATATCGCCCTGATTAGCCAATGGGAAGGGTAGTGGAGATACGGCTAATTACCATGTTTCTCTTTTATTGGATAGGATAAGTTCTTTGGTTAATCTTTCCCACCCCTTTCCTCTGAGAATCCTCAGTCTGTTACATGCTTCCATGTCTCTGGATCTATTTTGTTTGTTCATTTTGTTTGTTCATTAGATTCCACATATAAGTGGGATCAGAGGTAAGCTTTTAAATATCAAATTTGATCATGTTATTTTTTGTTCTAATGATCTTTATTGACTCCACCTCACCATATAGAACAAAGGTCAGCATTGCCCACAGATCTGATCTCACCTGCTTTTTCAGGCTTATTTTCTATAACACCCCAACATGCATACGTTCCCCAGATATATGATGACTCTCCAGGCCTGTTTCCAGCCTTGGTGGATGTTTCCTCTTCCTTGACTTTACTTCCTTCCTTTTCTGCCTGGCAGCCTTCCCCATCCCTCCAACTTAGCTCAAATGTCTCCTTGAGAATGCTTCTCTAATCTGACCAACCAGTGAAATTTACCATAGCAATTTGGAAATATTTCTTTTATTGCACTTATTATACTTCACTGGCATTTGTTTATTTGTCTCTTCCCACTGTCATCCCAGCAGCAGACTTTGAGTCTAACTATTTTTTTCCCCCCAATGCATCCTGAGGAGTCTCAGTAAAAGATGAATTTTTTTCTTCTTAAATGTAGTATCACTTAATCCACTTGATTAAAGTTACAGCCTCTGTAAATTCTTGAAATTAAGTAGACATGTAGACAAAAAGTATGTTTGTGAAATCTCAGGAGTTAGTTTCAACATCAGGACAATATCTTGACATTACCTAGGCATTCAGAATTCTATCAGGGTAGCTTGTGACCATTTACTAATCTGAAAATATCTTTAACATATTTCTTCTTTTTAATCTCTAGATATTTCTTAAGAAGAATGACATTCAAGTTTGAATAGAAGATTCAACTGAGACAGTCTCTTTCATTTAGTTGAGGGTTTTTTACTTTAAAATTTCTGACAGGTTTTCATGACAGCCTGCTAATGGAAGCTTAAATTCACTTGTCATAGCTGTTAAGGACGTGTGTGTGTGTGTGTGTGTGTGTGTGTGTGTATTTCTGTGATCTGACCCTTCCATTTATTATTGTTGATACTGACCTTAAAAGTATAAAAAAGAATATGGATGAGCCTTTATTTTTGAAGGCTTGCTGCAATTCAGTCT